CGTCCTTATTCGATATATGCAAGGTATCGGAGCGAACAATCGCTCGCTCGCTCGCTCGCTCGCTCGGCCGGCTAGGCTTCGTGTTGCGCGCGGGTTTTAGAGAGCCAGTGAACGGTAACAGCACTCGTCGCTTGTCAGCACGACGGACGCCTTAAAAGCGTGACGTACCCTTGCATTCGCCGCGATTCCGATCGCGATTCCGCTCGCAATTCCGCGGGCTTTAAAGCCCTTGGTCCGCGACGCTGCGTCACGACATTCGCAACTCCGACGGTTTCGTACCGGCGAAAGTTTCCAGCACGATATTATTGCCCCTATACTTTCGCCGATTATTATTCGACCGGCCGTACAATTTTTTTTTGGCGGCAGAAAAAATGAATATCGAGTTTGCCGTAGCCGATTGTGCGACCCCCTGCCAATGGCCGGCGCAATCGAAGCGAGACAAAAAGGAACGTCGAAATTGCGTTTACTTTGACGATTTTTCACTGGAAAACTACGAAACCTTTTACGGTGGAACTTTCGCGGATATTTTCGCCGATAATTCAACTAGCTCCGGAAATTTTTCGGTGCGGGAAACATCGACGCCACGTGGCTGGGGGAAATTGCAGCGAGAAGGCAAATATGTCACATTGTGGAATCAAGTGAGAGAAAACTGTTGTAGATCGTTCGATAGAGGTTTCAACGTCTTGTTAACGCCGCGAACGCGGTGTTTTTAATGTAAGGCCTCTTAGGAGATTGTTTTTCGGCAGCTCGGGATTGTGTGTGCAAAATGGGAACGCATGCTGAGGAATTCTTTCGGCTGCAAATTTGCATACGCGGCGCGCGTCACGGACGTCGCGAGCCTCTCGATCGGCCATCCGCAATCGAGAATGAATTATGATCGAGCCCTTCTCGTCACCGAGAACTGTATTTCCTATTAACGGTACTACCGGTTTCGGCGGTTCGATCCTTCGTCCGAAGCGGCGATCGTCGCTTGACGAAACTTCGTGCGTAACATCGTGGAATGTGGCCACCGTCGTGCTGGGAAAAGGCCAGATCTCGGGGCTAGCGTGGTCGCTGGAATTAAAACACTATAGTGGACCTCTGTAGTTTCTCTTCAAACGCTTAACTGTGCGCAGAGAACGCATATTCTGGAGAACCGATCCGCTTGAAAAACAACAGAAGACCGTTTGTGAAAAAGTGCAGCAAATTCTGCCTAATCGATCCTCGGCTTGTACACAAAGATGGATGAAGAGATCAACGATCGAGGACCAGCGAATCAATTCTCACAAACGAACGTAAAATTATAGAAATTTCTAGGTACACGAGCGATTCTACCTGAACTGCAAGAACTTTGCGCGAACATTTACAACTTACGGATACGAAAGAAGTGTTATTTATAGAGGCGTGAAAAGTCGCAGAGGTTGCCACCAAACTAATAATACTCCTCGAACTGCACAAGGTCTTTGTGTTGCTCGCAACAACCGTGAATGAACCAGAAAACTGTCCGAATATATTTATCCGACCGTGTACTCCACTGAACTTTTCAATTTATACGTTACCGTCTGCGAATAGAATACAGTAAATTCTCCCTGATTTTCTTTCAAGTTGCAAACAAAAATGGATAATTTGGAAAGTGGAGATATTATTAGATATTATTAGAGTAGGATTATTCGAGCCTCGCGGCTCATTTTTATAGTTGCCTATTGTCAAGAATTATGTAAACCAGCTGCAAAGCTCGGATAATCGTATCTCCTCTCTTCCCAAGTTGTGCATTTCTGTTTACAAGCTGAAGGAAAATTAGGGAGAATTTACCGTAATTCCTCGACGCTATATAATATTGTATTTTACCACATATTCAACAATTTTTTGATTCGGATATAATCGAATCGTTTGATCGGAATTAAATCCCCAGGACCAGAAAATATTGATTCACGTTGCAACTTAACGATTCCAAAAAGTTACCAATAATCAACTGTTTCGCAGTTTGGAAGCTCCAATGATCGCATAATATGCCTACGACAACCAGTTTTACTTGCTTCTCGTTAGTCCATGTTTGGCCACTTAATAAACCTGAAAATAGCGAGGAGAAGTTTGCTTTCGTGTTAATTGGAAGAGCGGGGGGGGGGGGGG